CCCTAACCCTAACCCTAACCCTAACCCTAACCCTAACCCTAACCCTAACTGTCCTAATGCATCGAGCCGCGCGACTACCATGGGTTAGGGTAGGGTTAGGGTTAGCCTGTTTCTTGCTCGGTTGTGGTGAATGTCGTGGGAAAGGAAAATAAGGCTTTGTCCTCCAGGGGCGCGGTGCCTCCGAGGAGGTGCCTTCCCGCACCCTTTCGCTGTGCTTTGGCTGCCTTAAAGGCGAAGCGCTCGGTGTGTTGGCGAGGGCTAGTTAGTCTGAGGCAGGGCCGTGAACCAAGCGGTTAAAGGTATGTTAAGCAGAGAAGTCGGCCGCGGCGAGGAAGAGCCATAAAGCAGAGACATGGATGTGGGTAGAAGCAAGAGTCCCATCGAGGGCTACTGTATTGTAGGCCGCGCAGTGGCACCGCCGTGATTACATGCGTGTAGCTTCCACGGACTGAGAAAAAAGAAAATACGAGAAAAACAAGCGCGGTACAAACAGACAAGATTTCTTGAATACACTCGAGTGCAGTAAAAGGTTCCATTAGTTCCGAGCAGAAACCCACCTATTCGGATTGGCATGAACATGGTCGAGGACCGCCATGCGCACGAGGCTGTGGGGATATTAACCTCAACCTCCAAATCTCCATACCTGGAGGGAGGAATTCAGCAGGTGAGCCGTACCCCGGATTCATTCCTACGATGACCGCACCCTTCAGAAATGGCGTAACGCGATGTGAGGAAGAGCGGCACGATGACAAGTTGATTTGGATCGGTCACGTCCGAACCGAACCGAATGCAGCAGAGCGAGAGGCCTAGCGGTATCGACAGGGCGGTCGGCCCAAAACGGATGCTTCCCGGTTGGCGGTTTTGGCCTTCCTCATCTTCCTGTGGAACCTACACCGCGTACACAAAACGGCTAACGCAGCCCTCGCATCTACCGAGGACAACAAAACCACCTCTCGCCTGAACCGAGCCATACAATTCACAACAAGCACACCAAGTATGAGGTTGACATCACGAGCTAGTGTACAATTTTTCCTCATAGTCCACATTTACACCACAGCACAACGCAGCCGACCCGATTACTAGTATAGGAGATGTAAGTATAGGGCTAACGAACCACGAACCGAAGGCCACCACCAAGCACGGACGTCGAAATAACCGTCTGCAAAACTAAGAGCATAGCACCTGAGTCGCGACTTAGTCGCGGCTTCCACCAACCCGTACCGGCTATTCAAGCCAAATTCACACAATAGCATATCCTCGCACTCCAGCAGAGGGAGACACCGCGTGCCCTGCGGAGTCAACAAAGAAACAAGCCTCGTCGTACAGTACAAACAGTGGCAAAAACGCAAGCGGCGCGGTGTTGGCGGTGCTCATCTCTCCACCCCTTTGTGTCTGTTCCCTCCCAAGCACGTCACTATGCCACCTCCACAAATCCTCGGTCCTTCCAAGAATAAACCCATCCTCATGTCCCTTGCAGCAGTTAGTCACAACGTCATGACCCTAGCCAAGGACGCCACGCCGCCGTCCGTTCTAGCTTCCACCTTCCTCTTCGTCAGGAACGCGAAATGCTCGCACACGCGGCCGCGCTGAGCTCTGACGCTCTCCCTCGTCTTCCCTAAGTCAACCCGGAGCTCCATCGGACAGGCCGACTGCCGGAGGGCTTCCCACACCGGCCTGTACACGTACCATGGTAGAAAGTAGATTTACAGGTGGGTAAAGCAATTGCAAAACAGCGGCACCAGAGGAAGGGAATTGGATTGGTGGGCCAGGAACAATTGCGTGCGGCGAGGGGAGCCTGCGCCGTCCTCTCAGCCTTGAGCCATATCGGTTCACGACTAATCAACGTGAGCGTGTGGGCTTCAACAGAGCGCCCCTGGATGCCAAATGGAGTTGAGGGTAGTGCATGTTACACCCAAAGCTGAACAACACATTCCACCCAAAATCATCCCCCGGATGTCAACTTTCTGGTTAGGGTTATAGGGTTAGGGTTAGGGTTAGCTAGCCATACAATTCCAGTCGAGAACAGCTCGTGTTGGCTCCATGCTACAACAGGACAGTAAGGTCCATCCTCACAATCTGGTTTGCTGCCTGGCGGTTCTTAATTGCGCACAAGATGAAGACGTGGCTGATCGGATGTTCATCAAGTCGAGGCGAGGGTGGCTCTTGTGATACGTGAGCGGCATCCCCGCGGCCTGCCCTGACACTCCCTTGCGCTTCGTGTTGGTCCCGCCGTCCGTCCTCTTCGCCTGGCGGAAAAGGGGGGGAGGGGCATGTGTGGAGCCGGCGAGTGGCGACAAGGAATACGGCGGGTTGCACAAGAGACCACCATCCGTGTGATTACATGTTGGTGGTTCAGACGTTATGGCACGGGTGTGGCAACATCGTGTAGCGGCTGTGATATCTTGCGTCGCCGGGGTGTTAAAGTGCACTCCCAAAACCCGAGCTACAGGGGGCTTGATCGCAATGGGGTATGACAATGTCACCAGTGATGAAGAGAGCGCTCACAGAACCCGACCTCCTGCATAGGGGGTGATAACGGTGGGAATTATGTATGATAACGCCGCCCGTTTGTGCGGTGCGTTCACAAGGTCCCACCTACATACAACAGGGCGTGTTGTGGGACGCGTGTTGTTGGGACGCGTGACAACGATGGCGGGTGATAGCGTCGCCCACGCGATGAAGTGCTTCGAGAAGCAAGAAGCCAAAGTGCAGGGTCGAGACAAACACGGGGTGTTGGACAGGGTGTGTGATGGCCAGGGTGTCACAAGTCCTTTTCCCACATGAAATCTTCGCTGCCCTTTGAGACGTCTAGCATACAACAATGCGAACACAAACGGGCTTGTACTCCGGTGATTTATACCGGCCGTGCCGGTATCATTGTTTGCAAAAAAAAAAGACAGCAAACACCGGTATCTAAACGATGACAAGGCAGCCACAACATAAAACGTCAGACTCGCGTTCATCACCCATGCTGAAACCATGTACATATGGGACACACGCATTTGCCAGCAACGTATAACCCAAAGCTAGAAGAGACATTCAACGACAACTGCCGAAACAAAAGGAACAAAGCATGAAAAACTAGAGTTCCAGGGGCAAAAAATCACTCTGGCAGCGACACCCAGCAGAAGGTGGAGTGGCACGCGGGGCGGGCGGGTGCTGTGGAAGTCTCGGGAGCAGTAGATTATGTTGTGCAGGCCTCAGCAGCACATGCGGTGCCATGCATGGCCGCTGAGCGAGTTCCTCGACAGGGGCCACACGTTCCCCCGCCTCGGGATGCAAACAACACCTTATTAGCAGTGCAGGAGTGTCAAGATGCCGAAGCAGGCTGCCCCGCTCAAGTCTGAGCCGCGGGGCGTTCAGCGGGGTTGCGAAGTGCATCCCACTTCCACGGACGGTACTGCTGTACTGTCGGCTCCCATGGCCATTAGCTTGCGCTCTTGTTCCCTTGTGACCACGAGTTAGCACACCCTCAGCCGTGTGAAGAAGCGGGGGCTCCGTCGGTGTATATGTGGCTCAACTTTCGGTGGTAACTTACGTCACCATGTGAGAACATCAAGCTTCTTCTGAACTCGAAGTATCATCACCCGGGTGTGGTGCTGCTGTAGTGTGTAGCATTTCGCAGGGGATGCCGTATCCTATGTAAGTGTGACACGTGATATCTTACGCAACCTACAGCATGCAAACGGCATCCATACGGTATGTAACCGCAAAGGACGATGGCGCCAGAAGGGGGACGGGGCGGGCACACGACATGAAGCGAAGGGAACCGCACCTTAAGACTACTCAAGACTAAGTTTACACCAAAACTCAGATGCCATGCCAGACCAAATTTTATGCTATGCTAAAGGCGAAACGTTCTCATCACCATTGATTCATTCATCATTGAATCATTCGACAGCACGCTGGGAAGGGCTATGAACAAAACGACCCGCTTGCGTGTGCGTTGCTTCAGCAGCTACAGCGGTATGCCATGCATGGGCTTGCCAGGGACACCGCAGCTCACCTTGGTGCCTGGGAGGGGCACTTCAACCCGCGACTCCCCCTCCCCACCACTGTGAAACCCGACACCGTGCTGCTCCGCCTGCCGAGGGGGGGAGGGGCTGGCCTGGCTGTCGTGGGGGCTCTTGAGGTAGTCGCTCAGCGGAAACGCATAAAAGAAGAACACCGCCGCGACCAACATCTCGAGGCAGATCAGCAGGTCTTGGATGCCCTGGAAGGAAAGGAAAGGTGGAGAGGAGGGACAACAGCAGCAATGAGGGAGGGAGGGAGGGAGGGAGGGGGTCTGGGTCATGAAACAAATCAAGAAGATGACATACTGTACTTGTAGCACGCCTCGCCGCATGCCCTGCAGTACTGCACCGGTAGTTCGGTATGGTACTGCTGCTGTTGCCGTCTTTGCATACAAACCCGTTCCGATCTATAGCAGTATGCTTATAGTCGTCCATGGCTGTAACATCAACTGGACCGCCTGACGCGGACACCACCTTCCGCAGTCACAGTTCGGAGGCCAACTAAAAAACCCCGACGACAAGCGTGAACCCAGATTCATGAATGCCATCCAGTTCGGAAGCAAAGCTGCCGTAGAAAAAAAGTGAAGCACTTGCTCTGTATTCTACCATACCGTATAGAGTACATACCTGTGCTACATGCTCCGAGGGGTCATGTTCAGACAGGTCACCTCCTTCGCCGCTGCTCACACCAACGACGCTCCTGAAGTGTCCCTGGCCCTCCAGGATCTCAATCAAGATGCCCTGCGAGGATGACGAAAAGAAAACGAGGGGCTAACTATTACTATTGAAGCATCCATATTCACGCATCATCATCAACGGCAACATCAACGGCACCAACAACGGCACCACTGAGGGCATGGAGAACAGCACAAGACCAATAACAGCATCAACGACAACAACGACGGAACAGACAGCAGTATCACCAACAGGACGAATCAGGAACATGGATAGATAACCAATGGGAAACCCTCAACTCGCATCAGAGACAAGAGACAGAACAAACCTCAACACGACACCCTCACGCTCAACACAAACATGGCAAGCCGGTGTGTCAGGGCGTTACGACATTCCACGCATCGGCACTTCGGGCAGCCAGAAAAATACAACATACTCGAAAACCACACAAGGTTCCCCTTCAGGAGTTAGGTGGCTTGCCTCCCGGGGGCAACGCAAGGCGACATGGCCAATGCCATCGCGATCGCATCGTTACATCTCAACGTCACGACTATCCGTAGCAAGTGCAGGTTTCGCACAATACCTGCAGCAGGAATTTGCGTCTATCATGTGCGGGGTATTTTTTGTCCCGCCGTGACTTTTCGCGTGAGCATGAGTGTGTGCTTTTCGGCTAGTGGCGTATTTGCTGCAGGTCCTATCGCTGTAATCCGCTGCGTTTGATCGCTCGCTCTTGTGTATTCATGTTGCCCATGGTCTGTGGGACTTGCGTGCGTTGCGCAGGAACCAAACATTGTGTTCATGCAAAGCGGGACTAGAGTAGTTCTTGCGAGGGCTTTCTTCGCGCGGAAGACGTCGCCAGGGTGTAGGGCCAGTTTTTTCAACTCTGGGCGTCAAGCACACGCGCCACGGGAGGCTCGCCGCCCTCGGGCGTGCGGAGTAATGTACCGATGATACCCCTGCGTGCCCGTGAAAAAGAAGCGTATTAAAACACTCGCTCCGGCCAGCGAAAGATATACCGAAGCACGGAAACAGGCGAAATGGTACATACACATATGCAGAGAGAGACCCTACAGTAGAACTCAAACACTGTCCTGCCAGACGGCCAGCTCGATCTGGATCCCATTAAACTCTCACGACCCGGAACCGTCATCAACATACAATGCGCCAGACGCACCTGCCACCAGCTGAAGAAGACGATGGTCTTGATGGCCAGAAACTTGCCCATGGGATGAATATGCACCAGCTCCTTGTACGTAGCGCTGCTTGCAAGCAAGTTTAAGGTTAAGGTTTCCCCAGCAACACCGAGCAGGGGCGAAGCCGGAAGACGGCCGGCCAGGGGTAGTGGGCGGGGAGCACGGATGTCGGGAAAGAGGTGGACTACGCTAACGTGCGAGCGCGCACAGCAAAACAGCAACGGTTAATCAATTCACATAGCCCAGGGTTAGGGTTAGGGTTAGGTGCTTACTTCCTGGACAACTCCAACCCCAGCCCTCACCGGAAAAACTGGTCGTACGAACCGGCTCCGGAGGACTCCATCTACAGCAAGCAGTGTCCATGTATTCCCATAGTTCCAAGCATATCATCCACTGCTGAGTCGCCGGTGTCGCCCTACGGTCTGCTGTCAACCGTTCGGGAATCAATCAATGTTACAAGATCTTCTTTCCCTTCCTTCCTTCCTTCCATCCTTCCTTCCATCCTTCCTTCCTTCCTTCCCTACGGCTAGTACTAAACGACTCCTATCAATAGCGCGGGTGGTACTGTACGACCACTATCAACAGATGAACAGCAAGACGACTCGAAGGTCATACCGTCTTATCATACTGTACACTGTACTAGTGCACCTTCATAGTGCCAGTCGGGACGTCAGAGGATGCGGGATGGGATGGGATGAGATGGGATGTGATGGGATGGGATGGGAATACATGCCGGCGGTCTGATGATCCAAAGATGAACTTGCCACTTGCCGCAGGCTCGGCTTACAAAGTGCTTCCATCGCGTACACCCGCCGCCCGCGTGCCCGCACACACACACCGCAAAGGCGCAGGGTTAGCTGAGACCTCGCCAGACGCCCCACCACATATTGTACCCCATTTAAACCACGCCTAATACGCTAGAGGCTAGATTCGGCCTGCCCACCCACCGGTAAAAAAGGACGAGGACGTAAAGGGCCCACGATTGGCTGCAGCAAGTGACGACTGTGATCCACAGGTACCCCCGCTTAGGGTCGAAGTCCCCCTCCGTGTACAGGTGCCCCAGCTGGAGGGCGAGCGCTACGGCAGTGCTCACGAGTCTGATGAACACGTACTGCACGCAAGAATGTAGCACAAGTGCGCAGCCAGCCGGACAAGAGAGTGCCGGTACAAGGTGCGAGTGTGGTATTTAACAGACGGTTAGATGAAACGTCCACACCCCTCGGCTGTACGTAACCCCAAACCTGCCTCACGCAACAAACACGGCCTGGCCATGCATACGGCTGTAGTACGTAGTTGGGAATCGCCAAGCAGGAGGTGGGCTGTAGAGCAGGAGCGGCCGCCCATGAACTCCGTCGTGCGGTTTGGATCTGTCTAAGCAGCTCGATACTTGCGTAAAATTGCTTCTGGACCCAAGTTGGCCACACAGCAAGACAGCTGATTTGGGGAACACGTGTACGTTGTTGCTGTCTTCTCATAAAAAAGCGTTCCGTGCCAAATCCGGCGCACGAGCGACTCATCAAACTTAGAGGGGGGCTGAAGGGCAGCTGCGATAGCCGCGGCGACCTCTACACGGCAAGCAACGACAGCAAAAGGATGGGACGGCGGCCATCACCATCACCATAACCATCACCATCACCATCACCATCACCGACAATCACACAGTACACCAACTCGTCGGGCAGAGGTTACGTGAGGGTGGACTGCTGTATCCGCCTTGCACCAACCGAACAATACAGCGAAGAGGCCATCTTCGTGCACTTAATCTCAACTATCATCGACAAGTCGGGAAGAGCACAAGCAGCCAACGTGCAGATGGGCACAACGGAAAAAACACACACACACACACACACATCTGTCGTCGTTGCCTGTAGCACAACTTCGTGTGGATATGTCACGCGAACTACACCGGTACTTGCTACAGCACCCCGTGGCTATTTACTGACCTGAAACACGCCCGCCTGGCACCTCTGTAGGAACTCCCTGCCCATTTGCCACGGCTCCAGGCAGCAGAACGGGGGCACGTGACGCCCGACCACCGGCGGCATGGCCGCCAATCGGCTATACAAGGCAGGGGCGATGATGACACGTAGTCGGCAGGGAGCGCCCGCATGGGAAGCGGTAGGGGGGACCACTAAGCAACCGCAATCACCCACACTAACACTAGGTCAAGTGTTATCAAGTGTAACGTATTCATTTAGGTGCTACCCGCGCTACAGTAGAAGATGAACGCCACTTGGTAGCCGTCAAGCAAAAACACACAAACAGCGAGCATACCATCTCTGTACGAAGTACCAGTAGGCATCAACCCCATCCGTGAACCCCACCCGTGAACCAAGCATGTTCGTTCGATTGTTCAAGAATGTCAGCCAAACAGTTGGTCGCACAATGTGACAATCGGGACTCGGCACCGGCATCAAAGCCCCCCTCGCTGACTTAGGGTTACGGTTAGGGTTACGACTCAAAAAAATCATACCAGCCCTAACCCCTCCACCACCCCTTTCTTCATAAGCTCCGATGTGCAACACGCGGGAACACATCCGGTTCACCTTCTACTTCACCCAACGCGGAGAGGAGAGTATACAAGCACAACACGAAACATGTCCGCACATCTCAAATACAACATAACAAGGCATCCACCGTGATCACAATGCCGCCCACTCACTCCCGCACGGGCACACAATGGCTGTACGGTAGTATACGACCCCTACCATCGCCACATCGCCACAATGCACCTCATGCACCTCACCTATTCGCCGCGGGCAAGCCATCTCCCAGCGTCCCCACCAGAAAGTGAAGGAAACAGTAAATCACGTAAGCCTCGTAGCAATCTCGCACCGTCGCGATAAACAGTGACCTGCTCAAAGCAAGCAGGGTAGACATTGCGAGAACAAACGGACGGACGGAAACCAAACTTCAAGGCCGCTCCAGCGACACCAGCAGTCTCGAGAGGTGGCCAAAGAACTATTGTACTCCAATGCGTTCACCACGACCAACCCATCTCAACAGACATCAGACATCATCCGCGCAACGTGCCACAGCAAAACCATTCAAGTATCCATACACACATGTAGCAAACGTGAAGCCTAGTCGTCACGTCACGTCGTGGTACGGGACGCATACTGTACCGCGACTTTCACGGTGCGTACCACGCCTTCGATTCGGTTCGTTCGCTACAACGACACCGAGGAAGAGGGAGGCCCGTTCAGTCTCTGACTCACCAGTGCATGAACCGGAGCGACAGGAAGGCGGTGACGCTGTAGGTCGGCACCATGAAGACGATACGCACGATTTGGCTTTGTTGTCGCGGCTCCACGAAATTGGACAGATGCAGCACGATCTGCTCCAGTTTCAACCCGTCGGGACGATGCAGCACCGGCAGCGGCAGCGGCAGCCGCAGCAGCAGCACCGGGATGTCAAGCGGTGATTAAGGCATCATCGCACGCCACCGCCACACCAGGGAGGGAATGAGGGAATGAGGGAATGCGGGAATGAAGGCACAGCAGTACACCGGAAGACAAAAAATAAACCGTAGCAGTAGAAGCAGCAAGAGTGCGTGGACGGAAAGAGCGGAGACGAACACAGAGGGGCGAGAAGAGAATTTGCGACAGGGAGGGGAGGCGAAGGCAAGCCAGTCTCGAAGCATAATTCCTCGAGAGCGGCCGCAGCAGTATCACAAGCAGGGGCACGGCAGGAGTGTACCGACAGTGACCAATACGAGAACGAAACCGCAACATTCCGAACATAATATGGGTGCAGGGCACGCGTTACATACAACGTATGCACCGCAATGACAACCGAACAGACGGTACCAGTACACACCCCGTGTAGTCGCGTGCTCCCTCTCGGCCTGATAGGCTTGTGAACCACAGCACTCAAATTACGGTGATTTTCTTGCAGACAGGGTGCAGCATACGGCGCGGTACTGAGTTGTGGCTTTTGTGGTGCTACCGTACATTGGTGGCTGAATAGCTTTGGCCTAGGGATGTGTTTGAGGGTACTTCATGACCTCATTTCACCAAAACAACAGCAGAGACTAGTAACACAACAAAAACAACAAAACTGCCTCACCTGGTAGGTGGCCAGGGGCACCGTAAGGCACATCAAGGCACCCCCCAAAGTCCTGGCGACATCAAACTTGTTCTCCACGTGGACGAGCGCGTAGTTGACCCTCTGTCCAGCCAGCCAAAATAGATACGCATAGACCAACAACAACATATACCTGCAAGGCAAGCAAGCAGCAGCACGATTGGCAACAGCTCGATTCCAGTAGCTCGATTCTCCGTGCGGCCTACCTGATGTTCACGACCCCGCGGGTCTCACATAGAAGCATGTACCTTGTTGAAGATATGGCATCAGTCAAGCCAACTCTTTGTGGCGGTACTGTACTGTACATCATGCGTAAAACATCTACAGCGCACGCCCAACGATCACGATACAAGCAGCGATTGGTATTGCTATCGATACACGGCCGGTGGCACGGCACCTCTGCGGGCACACACACAACGGGTAAGTGGCCTTGTCGTATCCGGTCCCTTGTTCCGTCCCCAAAATCAGGTACTGGATGACTGCTGTTACCATTTGTTGTATCCGCCGCCCCTCCTTCCTCGAGGACGCAACGCACACAGCACGGACAGCAGCACATGGGAATGGAGCAGTAGAGCCTCGCACTATTTACATGGTCGTAACCCAACACTTGTTTCATGCATTGTAGGGGCTTGGGTGTTTAAGGTAACTAAGGAAGGAGTTTGGTCATCCCCCCAACCAGGACAAGGAGCCTGGTATTATCATTATGAACGGGAGGCGAGTACTCTGTTGAGGCCGCGACCGCCCGGTTCTCCAGGACCCTGTACCCAACCATGAAATGGATACCCAGTGCTCTCAGTCAGCTTCCTACTGTAACCCTCCCACGTTCCTTCGAACCCACACCCTGGCCTTCCCTGCGTCACACGACGGGCCCCCTTAGCCACATACACCCCGCTCTCCCCGTTAGCCTGAAACCTCACCAAGCCAGGATCTTGCTTCCGCGGCCGAGCTCGTCCGCTACCCCAACTTCTCCGCTTCCGCTGCCTCCGCTGATTCTGCTCCGAACGGAAGTTTTCCGAGCGTCTATGGGGGGCCGCGCACCGTGGTGGGCGGACTGCAGCAGCAACCCCCTTGCTTCTTGCTGGCCGCTGCCAGGCTGACGGCTGTGCTGATTGACCTGAGCCTTCTCGGTTCAGAGAGCACAACGAAAACGACGACGGGCTTTCGATCTTCAACACTGAACGGCGGTCGATATAACGTCGATACGTATATGATGTGACAGCAGTCCATGAACAACGAGTGCCTTCGGTAGGCGGATGTTGGCATGCACTAAAGGACGGTCGGTTGTTGTTGCACGGAGAGTCGCGTCTTTAGTGTGCAATGTGCAATGATAAACTGCATTAATGTGCAACCGACCCATTGACATGACCGTCATTCTGCCTTGTGTGCACCTGCTGTCGGGCTGACCGGCACACGGACGGTACTGAAACAGCCAGACTGACGGAAGGGTGGGAACGAGGGTAGGTGGGTAGGTGGGGATTGTACGAAAGATCATCATTATTGGTAGGCCAGACAGCGCACAGGGCAAGCACGGGGTGGACACTTGAAGTGCGGACCATCTCGGTTGTCCCGGGCTACAAATAGCACCATGCTGAAACCTATCCCCGTTCATGTAGGCCATTTCGAAGCGAAAGCTATAGCTTCCGGTGGTGTCGGAGCGTCTGTCTACATGACAGGTAGAACTCGTAGGCTACAGTGGAGCCAAAGTGACGCGGCCTTAATGCCGTTCGATGCATGCTGGCTGCTGCTCGAAGAAAAGTCCTAGGTTAGTGAGCATCATTTGTCTGTTAAAAGAAAATTAGCATACGTGGAATTGTATCGCAAGGAAGACTAGGAATAGCACCGTCCGAGACACGTCTCTTCATTCTTAACCCTTTGGGTCTGCCTCTTTTTTTTTTGGCGACAAAAAAAACAAAGGGGGGAGAGAGTGCGGGGAGAGACAGACGTACAGCAGAGAGAGGACCAGTGTACTTCTGTAGACGCAACAGCTATCTCCACCCATAGGCCATGAGGGCTGCCCGCGACAGGACGGTGGACACAGACAGGGTCATAGAAGGCTTGATGTGTGGTCGCGGTGCGGCCGGTAGGTCAGATTAGGCTGGTACACAGACCTCGAAACAATCAGTCGTCAAGCCGCCTGAACTACNTAGGCCATGAGGGCTGCCCGCGACAGGACGGTGGACACAGACAGGGTCATAGAAGGCTTGATGTGTGGTCGCGGTGCGGCCGGTAGGTCAGATTAGGCTGGTACACAGACCTCGAAACAATCAGTCGTCAAGCCGCCTGAACTACTCTATTTTCAGTACATTCAAATGATCAGTGAAAATGATCAGTGAGAGGGCTTGCAGACCCATAGCTGGTTTTTGTACTTACGTACTTCTCTGTCCCTCCCCAATGTGAGCCCTGCCGGTTCACTACAGCTCCTGTAATTTTCCCACAATTCCCACACGCACGCAAGCACACACCAGCACACACCTACCTTTGCATCAGTGGCTCTCTAGGTTCGGGCGAGGGTATGTGTGGGGCTATGCTGATAGTGGATGTGTTACTACCTACTCTGCTGTAAATGTTGGACTCAACTATACGGCTGCTGCTGTGTACAATAGCCGCTGGCATGATGACTGTGCTGGATCTTGGGAGTGCACGGTTTTCGAATTTGGAGGATATGCAGCAAACCACGATATCCTGGCCTGTTTGGGCTAGAAGTGCGCCTTTTCGCTGTCCTCCTGTCTTTGCTTTAGTGGCTTCCTAGATTCGGGCGAGGGCATGTATGTGGAGCAATTGATGTGTGTCTCTGTGAAAGGATATGGGGAGAGATTCATGGTGGTATTCGCATTTTGGCCGTTCCAGGGACCTGGATATTTGCCGCTGGCACTAACGTCTTTTCATTGGCCACCGGGTAGCGCGGTCGATGCGAATGATAAAGACACACCTACCTATTGACTTGCCAACACCTGGTGTGGAGGGACACAGAGCGGCAACTCCATGGCATGCCCCAACACCAGCATTTACAAACAAATGATCAATCGATGATCTGTCAGGACGCCTGTAGACCCAAAAGGGTTAAGCAAGTTGTGTTGCAGCCTTTACGGCACGAACAGCTTGTTGGTCTTGCTGCCATCGATACTTCGCCCGTAGCTTGTAGATATTCTTGTACATTCTCCACTGAGGGGGGTCAATCAGGGGGGCACATTGTAGGGTACACGGATTTTCTCATGCTTCGCGACGGGGGGTGGAGAGCTATGATACAGCATTAGTACAATGTTGTCCAATGACAACGCAGGCAGGTTGGCAGTAGCGGAGATGAAGGAGCCAAAAAAGGTGTTGGCCCCGTGGTTATCTGCAAAGGGCGTGATTCGAAACGCAGGACATGACAGCCGTGCTTGAACGTACGGCACGCTGAATGGTATGCATACATACTTCGAAGTATCAGTGGTATTTATCGGGAGGGGTGTACTTCCACACTGCTTGTTGAGGTTGCTGTCTGCCTTCCCCTTATGAAGAGTCGATTCGTCGCTACTGCTGTGTAGCAGTAGATCGGACCTTAAGCATCGAAGTCCAAACGTTTGGCATTCACGTTTGCGCGTTCGTGACTGCCACTCAAGAGATCACGTCTATTCGACTCCTGGTCAGCTATTCGTCAGCGGGAATGCGGGAATGATGTCACCTAACTTAGGACACACCACGTTTTCTCAAAAAAAAAAAAGTGTCTTGGACGCGGGGAAGTGTCTTTCAAATTCCGGGGCCACTAATGCACCATCCCCGGGGCCAATGAAGGCGAAACATATGTCAAAAGGTGCGCATTCGCAGCAGAAAGGCGACCACATGAGGTGTTGTTTGAAACCTACGACACAAGGTGATTTGAAGGTCGCAACCACTGCTGCTATTGTGCTGCAATACATACTTGCATACCATCGTTTGAATTTCCCCGTACTGCACCACCCAAACGCTGAAAGCGATGATGTTCTACGACCTACGCATCGTACATGTACATGACGGTAGTGCGCTGGTGTTGATATGGGCTTAATCATTCGCTTTTTTTTTTTTAGGCGTTGTCCTCCCCGTGAATATCTTGCCCAAGATCTCTCGCTACTGCACCTGGGAAATATCCAAGGTTGTAAAACGACACTAGGAAAATGTAGGTTACGCAGAAACACAGAGACCAAAAATGTCGGGAAAACACAGCGACAAAGAGGACACCGCGCCTCCCAACAGGTCCAAACGAGGCACAACACAACACAAACGCCAAATTCAACCTCACGAGACTCCACCCAAGGCAAACAACGAACGTTGGCAATAAAAGTGCTTTGCTCTCGAAACCAAAAACTACACCCGCCACATATCCCGAAGAGTCGCCTGCACCTCCCCCTCCTCCTTTGCTCTTCGCTTGACCTGAGTTTCATGAGTACACAAATGCACAGTCTTCGAAAGAAGGTACGCCGTTTCGCTGTACTCGCCGTCTCTTTCATGTGTGTACAAGTAAGAGCGGACATCTTCGAGACGAGAGCGAGCTACAGGTGCTGCAGCACATATCCTGGGGGGGGGTCGAATGGTGGAAAACCCTACCCCCCCTTCTTTTTCACATCTGCGGGGCACCATGTTTCTGAGATTTTTTGTGTCCTTAAAGCGGGGAGTGTCTTAGGTAAACATGGTGTCTTTAAAGCGGGGAAGACTGTACTGTATATATATGTAGTTCGCGCCAACACCCGTACCACAGCAGACGGCGGGATGTTCACAGCGGGGATTTCCTTATTTGGCATCCCTGTTGGTGATGACACTGCACCCCAAAAGCCTGAGGACGCAGCGCACTAGACAACGTTGTCGTGGCTGCTGGTTTACATGCATCGTACGCATAAAAACACAACCCCAAAGCCCTAGCTTTCGAAGTAAAATGGACAAAATACAAAACGCGACCTTCAAGCACGACGCGGCGAGATAACTCTATAGCTGAAGAGAGGTTGTGCTTGTCGACTTGACAGAGAAGCAACCTTTTGCTCATTGAATGCGTTTCGTTCACGAGACGTGTGGGCTTGATCTCTTGCACTCGGTACGCTCTTATCCAGTTCGCAGCACTGAAGCTGCTCCTCTCGTATGCACATGTGTGTGCGCCGAGAGAGGCACCAAAGCTAGAGAGACAGGGAGCCAGAGGGAGAGGCGGCTAGTTGGTTTCGCAGTTGAAGGGATGCCCTATGATTTGCGGAGGAAAGCAGAGGATCTCAAACTCACCATGAAGGGTAGACACCTCGCTCTGTCGCCCGCTCGCCCTCTCTCCCCCCAACCTGCCGTTCCAGTTGGTTAACTGATCTGTGACCTGTTGATGGACGGACCAATGATGGCCCGCCGGACACACAACCCGAAAACATCCACGTATCCCCCGGAGATCTCGTAGATCCACGCATATTATTTGCATATTTTGCCTACCCACGTGAAAAACTGTTCGGCGCAGCTGCGGGCCCCCGCTGACGGCACCACTTGCTGTGGGTCCCTTACTTGGTGTCGACAGCATCCCGCAGCAGGCTCCTTTTGTTCGGTTGATTCGGGCAGGCAGGTTCTTTGGTTGGCCCTCTCCCTGCCAAGGCCCCTGCTCTGTTCCTCTCCCCGCCCCCTCACAGGAGTGCGGTTGGCCACCTGCTCTTGTACTGGAGTTTATTTGCTTGAAGCTGAAGCTGCCACCAGGGAGGGAGCGAAACAGAGAGAGAGGGAGCGGAGCCAAGGAGGTCCAGCAGCAGCTTGATACCCAACCACGTGGCGCTTGACGCTTGACGCTTGACGCTTGACGCTTGACTGCTGCCAACAAGGTGAGCCAGGTTGCGCCTGACGTGTCGCTCGTCTCTATGAAACCAGAGCAACAACAGTAGACAACGGTGGATAACTGAAGCAATCCGTCCGGCAAAGCAGTCATTCCGCCAAACGACGCACCACAGAGAAAGAGCGGCTGTGCTGCGTTCCACACGGTGGGCGGGGTATGCATACCGCTGTGGTAGCATCGGGGTATTCATCGATTCATGCCTGTTTCCCTTCGGCACGTGTGTAACATGGAGGAAGGGGAAGGGTAGCGCCGGGGCAACAGCAGTACCGTCCCACAACAGCACTGCCGCGACGGTTAAGGGTGCATGCAATAGGACAAGCAGTACTTCGGTGTACTGTAGTGCTGTAGAACGAAAAAAAAAAAAATGCGTTTTTCCTTTGATTTTCACTCCTAGAATCTGAGAATAGGGGTTGGAAGGGGGGCGAAGACAGATTTACCCCGTAATTTACCCCGTGGGCATGTATGCTTGAACGATACAAGTAGACCCATCCCGCCCTGGCTCTTGGCCTTTGTGCATGGTAAGCATACATAGCTACAAGAGGGGTCCTGCTGTATGTTGGTATCTATGGTACCGTAGTCGGTCGTTCACCCTCGACGTGTACAGCTCATTGTCTTACGAAGACCCGACAAATATCAAATTACATGTAAATATTTATGTTCCGGTGCATACATTTTTTTTTTCTCCCATTATTGGATTATGTCGACTGCCCCTCTGGCCCCTATCCTCCACTTCTACTACCTAGACGACCCAACCGGGGTCACACAGGAAGGGGGGGTTGGACCCCTTCCTGCTGTTCCTGACTGAGATTTTTTTATCGCGAGAAGGGTACAGCAATCCCTTCCCTCGCGATTTTTTGAAGTCGATCAAGTTTACTAACAACGCGCTTTGCAGCGCATCGCTTCCAACGGAGACCAGGATTGAATTAGTGAGAAAACACCTCACTCTGTCGGGACTGGAACCCATGACCTGGCCCTTAGTAGGCTGCTGCGAGGTTACCTACAGACCACCGGGGCGACCAATGTACATTCATGTACTTGTTTCCTTCGATAGAAGTCCTACCTCGAAACCGCATTGATTTTGGTCAGGAGAGGCAGGGTCACTCGTCGATGATACACGTCAGGACTCGGGCAGTTGCCACGATTGGCAATGATTTCGTCGTTCAACTTCAATGGTACGCCGGTTATGTACATGGTACGAGGAAAGTACTACGCAGCAGCTATACATATGATTTTTCTTAGTATGCATACTCCCCAAGGCATGCTACTGTCTTCATGTCGTCGGTCTGCCAGACGACTCAGTATCTGTACCACGCCGTATGTAGCATATGTAGTCTACACGCGAAATGGTGACTTTGGTCTTCGGTCTGTCATGTCTGAAGCAAAATAAAGCCCTTACCTGAATTTTGTTGTTGTCGTTCGTTGGAAAGAGGGTGTTCAGTGTGAAGACAATACCAGACTGCTTTTCTCAGTTCATTTCTGGATGGTTTGCCCGAAGTAGTTCAACATGCCATCGCGCACATGGCGTTTGCCCTCGTTTGCTGCCTGCATTCAGAAGTGCATGCAGATCGCATGCTCTCCAAGCCTACGCAGCTTACCAGACCATACAAATGCTCCCTACCTTGAGGTATCGCAATGAAGGTGACTTATCGAAGTGAAGACCAAACGTGCGCGCTAGCGGGCTTGTCTATAGCGCCCAAACAGAACGAGAGAGGCAGCAACAAACTGCTGCTGCTGCTGCTGGGCCTATCTGGTCGTGCTGTCTGTCTCATGCATGCCATGCTATGCCATCTCTTTTCGCTGTACCTCCTGTTTCTTGGTTCTGGGTAGCACTGCTCTGTATCGAGCACTGTAGCAGCCAAGGTTGACGTGGGCATACCACACCTCACCCAACGCGGGCGGGGGGGCTTGTCAAACATAGCCTGCTGACAAAGCTCGAGTCACTAATTTTATTATAACCATAATCTTAATCTTCGCAGGACGCGCGCGTGATGCTTGGCGGGACTACTGTCGTGTGCTTGGCTCGCTCGCGTTCCCATCCATTCTCGTTTTTGTCATGATTGGCCCCTCTGATGATGCTCCACTACGCCTCCATCCCTTCAACCCATGGCGCTTGTTTCGTGTTACGTGCCTCCGTTGTTTTTCGTCGGCCGACATCGACATCGACATGCCGCACCACGCCGCGGCAGCGCTCGCACACCAAGCAGCATCAGCATGTCTTACCGTTCCCGCCAAACCGAGATATCGCCGGAGGAGGACTCGGGCGCGGGCATGGTAAGGCCGAAGCACGCCGCCATCAGCTGCTCGCACTTGTGGGCGAATGCTCTCGTGGTGGTGGGCTTGTCCAGCGTTGTCGTGGGGGTTATCATCTTCACCGGTGAGCGGGAGAGAGGAGACGGCTTATTTCTTTCTTTCTGTCTCTATTACTTATATGTTGTACCGAGAGAGTTTTGTCCGAACGCGCCGTTGTGTTCTCCTGCTGTGTTAGAATTCTCGCTCCTAGGGCGACAACAGAGAAAATCGGGTTCATGCCGCGTTCAGCCCTCGGCCCGTCGATACAACAGTATCCCGATTTCGTGGTGGCCGCGTTTGAGTTGCACCGCATCGTTGACTGCATGCCCGTCGCCGTTTCTTCCGCTGTACCTCGACAAAGAGTGGAAGGGGATGGGGTCCTTCTGGGTAGGTGCTGTGGCCATGGCTGCGGGCACCTCGGGCATCTATGTGACGCAGGGAGAGGCGTCTGGCGGACTGGCGACGGTTTTCTATGCGCTCCTGTCTCTCGTCACGCTGGCCGCATCGGTGGTGTCAATTTTTCTGGGCGAGGGAGCAAGTGAGAGCTAAGAGCTAAGAGAGACCTTTCCTGCTTGAAGTCATCAAAACGAGACAACTACGATGCATGATGGATCATTTCGCGGGCAGGCGCGGGCACAGACAGCAGTGTTCGGCGTAGAGTACAAAATGATTATGTACTCCGACCTCATATAAATGCTTCGCGGTGTGTTATGCTATGTTCATGGCCTTACTATGACCGTGATAAATTAGCGTTCCGGTTCTACTGCTCGAACTGCTCGACCCTCGATCGGCTTTTGTTTTGGATTGAAATCGACGGTCGGCCACTTTCGGCACCTAGTTCCAGGGCCTGCTTTGATACGACTGCTGTAACTTGATTTTTTTTGTATTTGTGACGTTGAAAAAGGAAGTACTTGTAAGAAGCTACTTCTACGAAGCATGTGTTCTCGTCGGACGCCTTTCGAAACACAACTTGCGTGGCGGAAATCACACTCCAGTGTAAATTATTTCGAACTGCAACAGTACAACAACAAAGAAAAACAGTACCGCTAGGCATATTGTTGTTGCTCATGTTGCTGACGCGTTTTTACTCTCACGTTGCCTTAATAACTGTTCTAGCCTTGGTGCGGCAGTACTGCAGCCAGTACCTGACCGAATGGCTATCAACATTATTCCGTGTTAGTTATTAGAATGATCTATTAATAGCGGTCGACAGGCGAACTCCGAAAGATGTTCATAATTTATTTTACAGGAGGAATGTCCGTCGTTACAGGCAAGCCCCAAACCGGGGCTCATGCAGCATGGCGTACGCATGGCGTATGGAGATCTCAACGAAATGCCACAACAGTAGTAGATGATGTACACGTACGATAGGCATTGGCGCAAGCATGGACATACCCCCGGCCCCCCGCTGCTCGACTCAACGCTTGGCACTGCTACACGACATGACATGGTGACATGAATGCTCGAACTCACCCTCACACGACAGCGTTCCTGATTGTGAGAGATGTGAATGGAAACTGTCGAGACGGGGACGACTGCCCATCAGACTTCTGGTGAGCGTTTTTTTTTTGTTTTGAGAAATGAACACATGATGCGCGATGCAGAGGGTGCATTTTGGGGAGGAGGTTAGGTTTGCCCTCTGTCCCTCTCGCTGGACACATTGGCATCGTTATCGCTGGTCAGGCAGGTCGCCCTTGGCCAAAGCAAGCAGAGGCCGGCCTGCCTTTGTTGTGTGTGTGATTGTGCTTGTGGCTATTACTTTCACAAGCCGTAGGTCCAGGGTGACGAGCATGAAGCCATGGCTTGCGTCCCGGCAAGACATGAGGTAGATGTGGCGCGCAAGTAGCCCCCTGATAGGCTGTCCTGTCCCGCTTAGTGCTGCCGTTTCTCGTGTCTCTCATGTCCTGTGTCGTTCGCCGTGGAATCAATCATCAACAGTCCGGAGGACGCGTGCGTGTGCTGGGAGCCAGACGGGACCGACGTTTGCTCGGATGCGGGCAGCGTTCGTTACTGTGTCCCGTTTGGGGGAGACAGCTGCAGCGATATCAAGGTGCGTTGAAGAAGGCGAAATTGGTGCGCGGCGTGCCCAGCAATATGGGTGACGGATAGGATACCCTGTTATGATTGGCGGGGCCTCCGCTCAAGCCCTGTTTTTCGTCGTACTTAGTCGTATCCGTAGGGTTTGAAGAGGGTTTTGGCTGTTGGATTACCGCACCACATGGCGGCATCGATTGCTGAACCACGTATCTTTCCGTGATTATTCAAGGTGCTATTACACTAAATAGTTGACGATCCTAGGTCCACTCGTGTCTCTCTGTGTAGGTCGTGTTTGGGTGGAGTGCCTTGTTCGGAGTTTTTTTTCCGGTGCCCCCCCGTTCAACTATCTTGTTTGTTCTGTTCGCGAGTGTCAGCTCTCTTTTGCCCTAATGCCCTCCCATTCAAATTTCCAGACTGTTTTTTTTTCTTTCGTTTTTTTTTGTATGGGTATCAGATCTCTTCATCTGTTCTTTTCATCATGCCCTCCCGTTCAAACGTCCCTCACCTGCTTTATTGTCTGCGGCCGCGGCGCTATTTCCGTTTGTCGGACGTGGCTTGACTCAACGTGACAGGACTCTGAAAATCTCCTTTTGGGGTCCTTCATCATCTTAGTCATCATCGCCTTCTGCTCTTTCTGGTCGCTGGTGGTAGCCGTCAACACGTGTTGGTACTGCAAGCGCACCATCGTCGTGGAGTCTAGCGAAGAATCGCCTGGCTATCGGTAGGTAGCTATTCTACCCCCCTTTCTCCGAGGATTGATTTGCCCTTGCGCCGCAAAGCCAAAGCTTCGTGCGAACAAGGTATGTCAAATAGTGGTCGTTGGACAGAACCGCGCGAGGACTACTGTACAGCAGTGCCACGTTTTTCTCGGCCCCCTGGGGGAGGGACGCAGTTTGGATTCGCGAACGCTCGCTCTCCTCCCTGCGGGGAATGCAGAAGCACCCTAGCTATGGGCGGTGTTACAAAGTTTTTGGTAGACCGGGGGTCTTGAAGAAGACGTGGCCGTCACTCATTTGTCTCTCGTCCTTTGGTAGCAAATGACACGTGACACGTGTAATCACTCGCTTCTTCGACCGGAGACCCAAGTCTCGACGGAGAGAAGAGCGGCTGCAGTGTGTAGGTCGCTGGCAGTTGAACGACGGACCCCAGGCGATGTCTCGCAATCTAAGCTCGGGCGTCACTCTCTGTCTAGTTTGTTTCAGGCCTCCACTCGCGTGGTCCCGTAATTTATTAGGAGTATAGAAATGATTGCCGCCAGCCGTCTGTTGTCTGTTGTCTGTTCCGCCTAACGATGTTGTTGTTGCTGTGATTGTTGTACTGCCTGTAGTGTTGCCGATGCCGTTGACGTTTGTCCATGTTGCTGTGGTTAATTGTTGCTCGTGACAACCGGGTTTGTGCAGGTGTAGGGGCATGTTTTGTCGGGCGTGAGTGATGCCAGGAATGTGTGTAGTGAGTGTCGGTAGTGTGTTGGACGGTAGGCCCGGCTAGCGAAGAATTTTGAAACGCACTTTTACCCGTAGCCAGTTCATTTGCGCGACACCTGTTTCGGCGAAAAACATTTGGCCAGTGCTTGAGTCGGCTGTTATTCCGCTCCCCGCTGCCGGGTCTCTCACTGCGCTTCGTGCATGGTGATGTGAGAGCCTGGTCCGGTGAGAACCCGGCGTGCTCCGTCCCGGCTTTGTAGGGATGCGAGGTCAATGGTCTAACGACTACGGCATGCACGACTATGAGTACACCCCCCGCCCCCCGCTGCCGGGTCGAAGCGAAGTTGCTGTTGTATGGTATGGCATGGTACCGTTCGAATGGCGTTTATATAGAGGGGTATTGGATTGTTGGCGCTTCAATCAAGTCGTAAATGGGTGTGACATCCGTGTACAGCAGTAGTGGGGGCCATGTGAGGTGCCCGCGGTCGTTGTGGTGTTATGGTGGTGGTAGTCTGGTACCCTACAGTAGGATTGATGATTGTAATTTTTGTCCGTACATTCGGCAAACCTTGGGGGGGTTCGTACTTGGCAGTTGGCTGTCGACTCGCGCATGGACGAAAATTGACATCGGTAATGATCGTGAGACGAGGAGGGATGATGTTTGCCGCCTGCTTCGTCCGGCGCACTGACCTGATCGATCGGAGTTCATTGTGTGTAGCGATCAACTGGTTTGAGACCTCGAAACTTGCATCGCCTACGGAGCAGGCCAATTATTGTTTGCTTTGTTGAATGTTTGTCCAAGTGGCATGCGTGCGTTGTACGTGGTTTCTTATTGCACTCACATTGTTGCGACTGCTGCTGTTGCTTCGAAGAAGCAAGGAATGTGATGATGTATTGTTTCTTGTCAGTCTACAAGGAGACTAAGTGAGAGAAACGCCTGCGCAGGGTAAGCAGAGTTGTTCATATTCCAACCTTTCGTCGTAAAACAATCGAGTGAACCATTTGTATGTCGTCCGTCGAGAGTGAACCATTTTTTGCTGTCAGCTGTCAGTCATTTGTTGTAGTTGTACTGCTGTGGTATCGTCAGTCCCTTAGTCCCTCAGTCGTTAAGTGAAGCATTCAGAGTCAAGCCGGCTCATTTTCCTTTCGTTGCTGTTGAACCCTAACCCCAACCCTAAGTGAGGCATTCAGGTGATTAAGGTTCGACCTAGCTATTTTGTAGCTCTTTGGACTGAGTGTATCGAAAACGTGTGCGTCTGGGAACTTCAACCGCCCGGGTTCTGTTGCCTGTTGTGCTTGAACACTGTGCAGTCTACGAAGGGAATTTGCAGTGTGTTCTTTTGAATGTAGATTCTATTATAAGGTGTTCGTATGCATGCACTGCTTTTTTTGTTGCCTCTTGCTTCTCTATGCACCCACGGCCACGTGATGATGGGGGAAAACCGAGGGTTTGGTTGTGTTATGAGTGCAGGTTTGCTAAGTTTACATAGGGTGGGTCCCACGTTGCTTACAAGGACGCTGGCTCGGGAAAAGCCCGGCCGTTCGATGTATGCCGTAAATTAATGAAAATACTGCGACAGCAAGTGTATAGTCCATATGATCCACTCAGGGCAAGCCTCCGCTCCAAACGTCCTCTACTATCCATACATGCGTGATGGGCACCTGCATTCACTTCCTGCGTGATACAATGCACCGTGGCCACTCAGGACGGAGGAGTATTCGCGAACACATACATGTTCCACCAAAATAGCCTCGCTCGACGAATGAACTGATTTATTTGTACGTAAGCGGGGGGAAGAGACAACAACTCAAATGTTTCGTACTTCGAAGTACACTCTTTTCCGCGAGACGGACGTGGTCCGCTGATTATGGATGGACCATGGGAGTATTTTTTTCAGTCAGGTCAAATAGGGTTGCTGCTGCTGCAATATACTCCGTACGCACACTCCGATCACTCCAACTCCATTAGCTGCCCGCCCGCCTAGTACAGAAAATGAGCCCTCCAAAGTTTGCTCCCTCGGCCGAGACGCCAAAGGGTGGAGCAGCACCGACGATGCCCGTGAGAAATAACGCGGTGAGTACAGCAGTCTCTACCAAGTTTTGGACCTGTGTACACGAAGAATGTTAATGTTTGTTGTACACAACCACGTACTGCTGTATGAAAAGCAGAATCTCCCGCAACGCATGATCAACAACAGCAGCGAACAGCGGCGCGCTTGGATGTGTTGTTTGTCCCTTGATATGGGTTGGTTGTAACGCTGCCGAGGGCTTTCCAAAGCACGGTTGATTCCTTCCCGTCATCATCAATCCAAAGCGCCTCCCTCCGTAGACTACAGACAGGCAGGACCAGCAGGTGATCTGCAGGCAGGGCATGCGTTTGTGTTGATGTGTTCGTCCGAGTTCACAGGCTTTCTGCTCCACCAGCGGGTTCTGATAAAACGGGACGAGCGCGAGGCACTATGCTTGTTGGACAGCCGGTGCTTTTTTATTTCTTTTCACCGCCGCGTCCCTGTGGCCGTTCCCTTGGCAGCGCTACTCCGGGATCCCCACAAAACTGGTAAGAACTGGTGCATGGTGCACATGTATTCGGCACGCGTTTCAACTCCCTGTCGTGCCGCAGCAGCATCAGTGCATGAGCGTGTTTGCACATTGGATAGCGGAAGGGCGAAGCGCGGATAGCCAGTCCTATGCTTGCTCTGCGACTCAACCATGGCCCGCCGCGCTAACCTACAGCAGTGCGTATATCGCATGCAACATGATGAGCAGAGAGGTTGCACCGCACTTTCAGGGTAATGACGGTTATGCCTGCGGCGGGCATTGGCGTTGACACTCGCACACAGCGAATCGGCTGACCGATGTACGGACCATAAGCAGGGATACGGGCATCCACGGTTTAGACTATCCTCTTCCTCAGCTGCACGAATAGCCGCGATCTGCAGCGCGTATTGAGAGCTGCTGTTCCTCCAAGCCCTGCCGCACAGATGTAGTAACTGCGTCGACTCCTCACTCAGATTTTTTTTTTCAGAATGTCCAGCAGACACCAGTTTTCAGTTTTCAGAACAAAAAACTTCCGACGTGCGCGTACCACACTGCTGTATGAATACGTAGCAATGCATGCAACTGCAAGAATACGAAAAATATATATAAGAGGAGCCAAAGGAGTCGCTTATTGTCCGGAACTATATACGTTAGACGTTTACTGGTCGCCGCTACACCTTCAAGTAGATGTTGATACATAGGTGGGTTGTTGTTGTTGTTGTTGTTGTTTCTCACATTAGCTCTATAGTCCACAAAAAATGGGGAGCCCGTGGTCTCAAAACCCGGCACATACGACAACGCGGGGAAACAAAACAAAAATAGAGTACAGTGGGTGGCCCGATATAGTGCCGGTTGAGTAGTGCCGGTTGCCGGTATAGTGCCGGTGTTTTCGGCTCGCACACACCGGAATATCAAGTCTTTCTGTACTCTGAATAGTGCCGGTGCCCGGTATAGTGCCGCTTTGCTCTCTGAACACATACCGGCACTATAGAGGGCCCCTACTGTACAAACCACTCGCAACAAGAAAACAAAATGATAGCAAGAAAAGAACAGGTATCGCACCGACCGTTCGAGAAAAGAGCCCTCGGAAACCGATGAAAATAAAACAAAAACAAAGTAAAGAAGGACGCTTCCCACACCCGCCCAAAGAAAAAGTTCAAGGGTAACATACCAGCACCAGGCACAACGCACCAGGGCATGGGAGTAACAGAGCAAACAGGACAAAGAGGCGGGAGATGGGCAGACAGCCAAACGTACAAAAACAAAGGCAACAGCAAAGCGAGATCAAGGTATCCAACACAGCAGAGTAGGCAGGGGGGGGGGGGGGGGGGTGTACTCATAG